GTAGTCTCAAACTCCTGGGCTCAAGTTATCCTCCCACTTGGGCCTCCCAAAGTGCTGGGATTACAGGCATGAGCCACTGCACCTAGCCATGGATGAAACTAGTTGAGATCAGCAGAGGGAATAAAAAACAGATCTATGCTCTTATTTGGCATAGAATAAGAAAAGAGAATTAACAGAAGCCAAAGAATTGAGAAATAAAAAAGAAAGCAAATTATAAAAAAGGCAAGCAAATTATAATCACTAGGGTTATTATATTATGATTGTTAAATCATTTCCAGAACTCTTCATGCTGAGTGAAGAAGGAGGGGCAGGAAGGGGACAAAGAGGTAGAAAAGGAGTGGGAGGAAACTGAGACAGAGGAAAACACAGAAAAGGAGAAAATTAATGGAGAAAGATTGGTTTATTTAAAATATCACTTTCACAATTTTTTTTCTTGCACAAGAACTCATATATCTTAGTTAAAACCTATTTGTGTAGTAGTGATTTTCAGTCTGCCTTGTGGTAGAATCCATTTTTTAATGTACTCAGGATAACCAACTTTATCAACGTGTGGTAGAAATATTATCACCTTTGAAAAACATTTTTTAGTAATTTCTTGGACTACCACATCTTTTATAATAGAAAGTTCAGGCCAGGCGTGGTGGCTCACACCTGTAATCCCAGCACTTTGGGAGGCCAAGGTGGGCGGATTACGAGGTCAGGAGATTGAGACCATCCTGGCCAACATGGTGAAAGACGGTCTCTACTAAAAAATACAAAAATTAGCTGGGCAGGGTGGCGTGCACCTGTAGTCCCAGCTACTTGGGAGGCTGAGGCAGGAGAATCGCTTGAACCAGGGAGGGGGAAGTTGCGGTGAGCCAAGATCGCACCACTGCACTCCAGCCCAGTGCCTGGCAACAGAGACTCTGTCTCAAAAAAAAGAAAAATAAAAAATAGAAATTCCAATATCTCTCTCCCATATCAAACTACACATTTGCTATTAATGTCAGGTCTTATTCAGTCCAAATTGACTTTCTTTCTTCTTTTTTTTGGGGGGGGGGGATGGGTGTCTCACTGTATCACCCAGGCTGGAGTGCAGTGGCGTGATCTCGACTCACTGTGATCTCTGCCTCCTGGGTTCAAGACAGTCGTCTGCCTCAAGCTCCCCAGTAGCTAGGATTACAGGCACATGCCACCACACCCAGCTAATTTTTGTATTTTTAGTAGAGACAGGGTTTCACCAGTTTAGCCAGGCTGATCTCAAACTCCTGACCTCAGGTGATCCCCCCAACTAGGCATCTCAAAGTTCTGGGATTACAGGCATAAGCCACCATGCACAGCCAAGCTTTCTTTTTTCTTTCCCCTCTCCCCAAATTTCCAGTGTGGAGAAAAATTGGAAGACACTAGACTGACGTTGCTGATGCTTTTTGCTACTACAATGTGCAGATATAGAAAACTGGCTTTGCACAGAATCATGAACCTGTGATTCCCACAGTGATTACAAACCCTGCATGGGCCATAGTAATCTATTCTGCCTTGCCACCAAAGACATCAGCCATCTTGGTTTACACTCACATGTTCAACCACAGCTCTCAAAGGACCATACTATGTCAAAATGGATGCTTACTAAGATTCCGCCCTTTAGTTGATTTACGTAGCTCTGTAAAAACTAGAACCTAGTCCTTTCTTTCCTTTGATGGTATCTCTTTTTGGAGAATACTGGTATCCTGTTCTACTTTTGGACCTTAGTAGATGCCATCATGGACCACTCAGAAAAGTTCTCTGGATTTTGCGTGGTTATGTGTAGTCAATTGCATGTTAAAATAACTATAGATGAAGATCATGTTTAGACATAGTTTCTAATCTGAAGATTCCTATCCTTAATTTGCTGGCCTCAGCACCAATAACTGGCATTTACTGAGTGACTCTTTGAAAGAACACGAGTAGAATTCAACATCTTCACTTGGATTTTTGTCAGTTGGCTGGATCCCATGTTTTGGTAGAGAAATCTTAAAGGAAAGTAATTCAGTGGGGTGTGTATGAGTGTAGTTTTGTTTTATCAATTTTATTAGCCTTGAAAGTATGACAGGCCTATATGTCATACTTAGACTGCAGGCTGAAGGCAAACCAAGCATCTCTGAATCCCCACTTCCCATCTAGGATTTCTGATGGTTTTGTCTTAGTCTGAGTTTAGCTCTCTTGATATAAAGAACAAAAGACAATTAAAATACACTCACATCTGCTATCATTCATCCAACTATACATTATGATAGCCTGTGGTCTTCAAGACATAGCAGGCAATAACTTGACCAAATGTTTTGTAACCCCATAACATAGTCAACAGTTTTCCATCTCTTAATATCTTCCTCTCTTAGCCAAAGTTATATTTTAGGTTCTGTTCTGGAGCAACCCAATCGTAGTCCTAAATTCATTATGACTTGGTTCAACTGCATGTAATGAAAATTCTACAAATAACAGTGGCTTAAACAAGATAGCTTATTTCTCTTGCACATAAAAGGTGCCAAAAAGGAGAGTATCCAAGGCAAGTATGGCAGCTCTATGGTTCAGTGAAGTACACAGTCCCTTGTCTTTAAATATCATTCTGCACATGGCTTACATTCTCCAGACCCTCATATTCTGGTCCAAGACGGCTGCTGGAGCTACAGACATAATATTCATACTCTAAATAACAAGGAAAAAAAGAGAGGAAGGAAAAGCACTCATATTTTTAAAGAGACTTTTCAGAAAAAATTATACCCAACATCTTTTACTTAATTGTCTTTGGGCATAACCTAGTAATATGACCCCACTTAAATGCAAAGGAGTTTGGGAAACATCATTGTTTAGCTGGGTGGCATTGCATCAACCTAAAAACATCAGGAGTTTTCTACTAAGGACGAAGGGGGAAATCAATTTTATAAGATGTTTTGCATGGATGTTTAACAGTTCTTACAGAAGAATTAAATTTATTTTATGTGTCTATTTGGCATCAAGCACATTCATCTATCAAAGTATTAACAAGTGATTTCTTTCTGTCTTATATTTTTCAGTCATATACAATAGAGAAATGAAAATTCAGACTGTTCTTAGAGATTAAATGAAATATATACATACATATACACATACATACACACACACACATACACACATACACACACACATACACAGTCACATGCATATAATTGACATGGAGCATAATAAATCTCTATCTATAATTTAAAGATTTAAAAAATCTATCACTACAAGGAATTTGTTGCCATAAATTGTTGTATAAAATAACATTTTACTGTTTAAACAATATTTACCACATTTATAACCAATAGCAAAGAAATTATTCCAAAACATATTCCTGACAAGAATCTTTGGTCAAAATGGAAACTGAAGCAAATTTGTAGGTTTGCAAAGAAATTAAGTTACTTTCCCCACACAAGTAAACTTCTTGAATTCAGTTAGCACTAGACATAGCATATTACAAGAAAGGCTGTTTGTTTTGCTGTTTACAGCCCAAAAAGTACTGGATATCTCCCAGGAAATTCCAGTCTTAGGAGAATTCCAACAAACATGAAGAACTAAGTGGTTCACATTTAAGCACAGATTGAAATCAGAATGTGGACATTATTCCCAAGTGCAACGTGTCTGATTTTTGAGATTCAGCTTTCATTCATGCAGGTTCCAACAGTGAGACATTCATGAATAAAACCTGGAGATAAAACAGAAGTCAATATGTCCATATATAATCTTCATTACTGACATAATAAAAATTAAAATTTACCACTTTCACATAAGCAAAAAATGATAAATTTTAATTTTTGTTACTTTTTTCTAAGATAGATGGCAGTTGCATATAGATTTTTTTTAAATTTATGCTGTCCCATAATATACAAAGATGCTATAAAGAAATGCTTAAAATCTTGAGTGAAATCAGTGTTGTAAGATTACATGTGTCCACCAAATATACACTTTCATTCATGAAATTAGCTGTTCTTATGTATGTTTAAAGTAGGCTTTTAGTAATATTTGTTATTTAACAAATTTTTCATTGTAATGTACAATGAATGTATTTATTTATTTAATAAAGGTACTAATGGCTCTCAAAGTAAGTAATTCGCATTAAACCATATATTAGTGGATTATTTCTGTGATATAAAGTTCAGTGTTCATCTAAAATAGATCTCTTTCTCTTTTTATTCTATGGCCTTAGTCCTCCTAATTTCTTTATCTAGTAAAGTATCCTGCACATGGACGATATTCAATAAATGAGGTTAAGGAACAGGTAGGTCAATGGTAATATTAGAATTACGTTTCTACAAAGAGATGCATTAAGAAGCAATGTAGGTCAGTCCTGCAGAGCCTGACTAACAGGTTCCGACACAGGCAAATGGTTCACTTTGGCTAATCCTCCAGATTGCTTGTTACCAACGCTTGCAATTTTAACTTATTGGAGTCAGTATCAGAAATAAAGATGACAAAACGATTCAATCCATATTGCTACACTTCAATCACTGAGTTGAGAGACATTTTAAGATTTCCAGAAGTTACAAAACCTCTCTATACCCAGTAATTGGAACAACCTGTTAACAAGTAAAATTATCACCAACCCAGTTTTGTTATCCATTGATGGTACATGTGGGAAGAAAGATTTACTGGATTTATTGATTTTGACAATTTATATGCAGAGTCCTAAAGAATCTTTGCTAGCTTCAGAAAAATGAACTTGGGACTACTGATAGAGAGTTCATTAATTTTCCAGTATGTAACGTTTTTATCCTTTTCACTCATTTTTAAATTTTTTCCAGCCTAGCAAAATATATTTTCCCTGTCTTCAGGATTTGATAGATATGTTTCCAGTTTCACTAGTACACTGACAAACAGAAAAAAAAAAGAAAGAAAAAATCATAGCTATGTTAGATAAATATATACATATTAAATTTTATTATTTAACATAAACAATTAAATAATTAGTCCGAAAGTAGCAAGACAGAAATGAGGAGAGCAAATTCTCATCCTAGCTTTGCCCTTACTTTCCGGGTGGCCTTGAATAAGTCTGTTACTTTCCTGAGCAATAACTTCCTTATCTGTAACATAGAATGATCACACTCATTTCCTCCTTCATGGCGCTGTCATAACAATCAATAACACAATTTATATCAAATACTTTTAAAGCATAAAGAATTGCATAGCAAAATGTTAGCCTTATTAAAAACCAGTTCAAAATATGAAATGCAATCCTCTTTAAAAAAGATAAAGTAGAACGTTGGGACATCAATATTGGCATTTCAAAATGATTATTTGCTTTTTAAACAAATTTACCGCAAGATTACTATTTTCATCTAAAGGAGAGGGTAAAAGAGGAGAAAGAGAAATTCAGAAAACTCTCTGTATTCTGGGAATAAACTATTGCTCAATTTCTTGGTTTCTGGCATAAAACGCTTAGTAGAAGACTTTCTTTGAATTATTCAAATTATAATAAGTCTCAGTTTACTACCAGTATGAATTTCACACCCCTCTATTCAACCAAGAGGCATTTGAACATCCTCTCACTGTGATTGTTGTATTTCAAGCATTGGATAGTTCTAGGTGTCACACTGTCATCTGTGTGAATGGTGACTCTAAAGTTCAGTTCTATTCAATCTGCACAGCCATACGGGGCAGCTTTGAGCAAGGAAACTTGAGTCTGTTTCTATTACATTGGAACAGAGTCAATGATCCCAATAATGTAAGAATACATTACCAAGCTTCCCATAATATATGTGAAACTACAAATCCTAAATTCCAAACCTAAAAGAGGAGAGCATTTTCTATCTTAAAGCTTTCTAACACACTTTTAAATAGAAGCTGCTCATCTAATTATATAGGACTTGTCAAGAGCATAATTATTACATAAAGCAAAGATTGCAAATGTTTCTTTCACTTATCTTCTTCATATGTCTAATAACTGGGTGTTTTTAAGGTCATAACCTCAATTTTTAGATGCATTTCACATTCCCATCATTCTAAGCCCTCTGTAATATTAAAAATATGCTTTTATCAGCCATCTACTCTCAATATTTTAAAAAGTTGGTAGCTCTGGGACAGATGGAAATATGCATGATTACATATTGTAAAGGTGTCTTGCGTTTATGTTCTAAGATCACAGACTACTCAGACTTACCTGTTTTAGTTCCCTTCTTTTAGATGTTTATCTCCTTTGGGATAATTTGCTACTGGCTAGAATGAAAAGACAAAACATTCCCTTCAAACAGTATGGTGTCATGGCCTAATAATTCTGCAAACTCAAATGAAATCCAAACCAAATTCATAATTTACGTTTTCCTACTGGCTTAGAAATGATTTATTTTTGTTTGTATGGCATAGCATCAAGTTCCATCTTTTATTCTCCTTCAGAGTATCATTAACAAAGAAAACTTTGAATGTTAGCTGGTGGGATACATCGACACTGTTTACACAGCACTGTTTCCCACCCGGGGCTGCACACAAACATTCACACACATTCCCATGCATGCACACTCCTGGGGAGGCCAATGAATATTACAATTCTTCTTCTGGAAATAATCCTCAAGAATGAAGGAGCAAAAGACACAGTTTTCAACCCTATTTTCTCTTCTTTTTCTCTCTTTTTCTTCCCTCTGTCCTTCTCCTCTTTCTTCTCTCTCTCTCTCTCTCTCTCTCTCTGTCCTTTTCCTTATTTTTTTTTCTTCCTGGAGAGGTTTCTGAAGTTCAACAGTGATTTCTTTAATTAAGAGGGAAAAAAAAAACACACACACACACGCATACACACACTAGAGAACAAGAAGGAATAGTAAACAGTTCCTTCCACTGCCCCAGGGGTTAGTTACAAAATAAACATTTCATAGACTGGACCACATCTCCTATAATGAGACAGCTCTGGCTAGTGAGACTGCAACTAAAGTCCCCCCATTATGGGCATTCACTTGAAAAATTAAGCGACCCACTTGTGTTGACTGAAAACATCCTTGCAGAGGGTTTTTGCAATCACCTACAGCATTTTTTGACAATCTGCCTTGTGCTTAACGCTGCCTTTCCTGAAGCCTCTCTCTTGCTGCGTTTTGTTTTAATGGTTCAGCCTCCTCACTGGTGATTCAAAGTCTAAGCTTTCTGTTAACCCTCTGTATAAAATAAAACTCCTTAAGTCACAGAAAAGGAGAGGTGAGAAGGGCATTCAGTTTGATTTTTTAGTAGGACATACAGAGGCAAGAAATTAATATTACATTTTTTTCCTTCTCCAAACCAAAACACACTGACCAAAGAAGATTGTTCACATCTGCAAAATTTGTCTTGAGCTCCTCAAAGGAAAGATGCTATATAAAATCTAAAATAAGCCACGATAAAAAATGCCTTAGAATAAAAAAAAGAGCATTCTAGCAATAACCTCAGAAATGTCAGCATCAGTCTAGGAAATGCAGCGGGAAGTCACACTAGGCTATTATTTGCAATCCAGTGGCATGTCACATACCAAAATATATCATGATCTACCAAAATTAGGTCACCGTCTCTAAAGGACCAAAGATATGCAAACTATTAATGAACATGACGTTATATTCCTGTTTAAGCAATGAGATGAGACGATGGAAGTAAGGAATTAACCCAGACAAAGTCATTGGAAAAACAACCGAATTTTAGCTCAATATTTTCAAGCAAGAAAAACTCAACAGGGGTCATACTTCATAACGTTACAGATGAAATGAGACAAAAAATCTAAACCACCCATTTATTTGCCTTTCAAGCTACAATTAAGAGCTATTAATTTATGAAGGTGTTTGTTCACTTGTCAGCCAGCACAGCACTATATACTGAAACCTGTAGTTCACTTCCAAGTCTATTCTATCATCTAGAGCTATTTCTTTGACCCACTCACAAAAATCATATTTCTAATCTATTTAATCATTGATCTCTGCCCTCTATTGCATCCATTGTATTCAGAACTAAAGAAAACTGCACTCAAACAAATTTGTTTCTACAAAATGTAAAAACATGTACACGTAAGAATAAATTGTTAGCTAAACCCTTTGGGGAGTACCTCGGAAAGCTGGAGACATAGATCACCTTAATTTACTCCAGGCTTGGCCGAGTCTTCACTGTTACTCACTGACGTCTGCTCACCTTTGCTTCTTCACTTTCTTCAGCTTTAATATCTCCCTTCTCCATCTCAACTATTCAAATCCAATCCAGATTTCAGACCCTGCATGAATAGCATTTTTTCTTCACTCTTCTTTGAAAATGCTAGCTTTAAATTGTCCCCCTTCTCTGAATCCTTCTTGTAGCTACAGTTCACATAACCCTATTAAAGACTTGGTTATTTTGCTTTAATGTACGTTAGCTTTGTCACTCATTCATTCGTTCCACAAATATTTATGGAATGCCTACTATGTGCCAGGTATAACTGTAGCTGCTGGGTATATAGCAATAGCACAACAGACAAAAATCTGTGCTCTGATTTCTGTTTATATTTTATTGGAATTTGTAGCCAATATGTAGTATAAATAAGTTATGGTGTCAGGTAGTGATAAAGCTAAGAAGAAAAGTTAAAACAGAGAAGGGTGATTAGAAATCTCATAATGGAGATATATGTGCGGAGAGGTGCATATGTGTGAATAGAGTTCTCATTTATCTCATTTTGCTGAAAGTTTCCTTATAAACTGGGATAAGAAAAGGCTTTTGCAAACCACTGCTATATGGTTCTTAACACAGTAATGGATATAATAAAAGTATCAATAAATAAGCAGTAATTAATTCTTTTAGCTCTCTGCCACTGCTTTGGCTTATAAATATAAGTAAGTTTTTTTTAAATTTGACTCTTATTCTCTGATGAATAGGAAAGCAAAAGATTTTAACTCTGCTTCAAAAACAATGAAGTGTTCAGGAGTCTGAAGTCTCGCATTCTGAATTCACCTTTATTACTCATTAACTGCACGACCTTGGTCAAATCAATTTTTCTCAGCATCTCTTTTGTCATTTATAAAACAGTAATTATATATTTGCTTTGCAGAATAAGGACCAATGAGGTCAGGCAGGTGACAGTATTTGTAAGCTCTTCTAGGTTATACAAGTGGTGGTGGTGATTTATATCATCAATGAGGAGCGTGGAGAAAAGACATTTCCTGAATGTCCAGTTAGGAGACTTGCATGTGAAAGGAATGTGGGGCTGTGGATAGCTGGCTTAGGACACTAGAGCTTTAGGAATACACTCATCACATTTTACAAGGCAATATTTTAAAACATGCCCAACGCCTTCAACCAATAAAAACTAAAGTTGCCACTTGCTAGAAGAAATAAACCTTCAGAAGCTGTATAGTGTCTGTTCCTTGTAGTTTATTCTCAAATCAAGAAAAGCAATTACATGCACACAGAAATACCTCGTCAATCAGCCCTGAAATAGTTACCAGGAACTTGAGACGAGCTACATATTTTTGTTTCAATAACTAACTGAACACGTGCTTCCCTCAGGTCTGCTCCTAGATACTTTTATGGCTTATAGTTAACTCTGCTGGGTAAAGGTCTTGCTACTTCCCCAACCTTGGACCTTGATGCCATTGTGAAACTGCTTCATCCGATTCCAATTTCATTCTCAAGTTAGCCTTAACCACACTTTCTATTCTACCCAGCATTTGAGAAAGAGTGTGTCCCCAGAAGCTGTGGGAAAAGGTCCAGAATGCCTGTGATCATTAATGAGTTGGTAATGGTCTTAACAACTTATATTCCCTTGTATTTAGACACCAAAGCTTTTTTGTTTTATGTTTAACGAAGAATATGAAAATGCAAAGATGGGTACATGATAGCAAAAAAGTACACTTGAATCTCTCATCCATTTCTGAATTTAAAAAAAAAAAAAAAAAAACACCAATGTTGAATTGTTTGGATTCCATTCAGAGGCATACAGAGAAATGAAAAGTTGAAACTAAGTATTCAAACTAAAGAGTCTTTCAAGGGTACAATAAAAAAAAACTTTGATTTGCAATAAGGTCCAAAGGAAGGATCTATGTCTTTTCTCATGGCATTAGGAAAACAGGCTCTCACTAGAGCACAATCCAGGCAGCCCAGCTGTGGAGTCAGAGGGACATTGCCATTACAAATTCTTTTGGTATTCTCAGTGATAACTGCTCTGAACTGGATTTTTTTTTTTCATGGCGGTCTCTTTTCAAGCCAAAATCCTTCTTCAGTGGACCATTGGAATAGTGAGCGTTCAGTGAACCACACAATTGCCACAGAGATAAGTATTCCAGATGTTGGGCATCAGAGGTTAAACAGGGTTTTGTTTGCATTACTAACAGACACCTTTCTACTTAAATCAGAAAGACTCATGGGCCTACAGGAAGTGACACACAACCTCAGAGGTGTTTACTGTCCATAGCCTGTAACTGCATCTCGCCCCATGCACAGTTGTAACTGCAGAGACGTTCATGGACATGTGTTCCCAGTCCCAAGTAATCTCCATAAACTTAACCATAAATCTAACTACAGCTAAACGTGAGAGTTTCTGTTTTGTTATTATATATCTTAATCCTCCGTGTGGAACATCACTCATTCCACAAGAAAAAGGAGAAGAAAGGCTCTGAACAATAAAATCAGCAATGTGTCTCCCCAAATCATGAAGCAGTTAAGAATGAGCCCCACTGAAAATACAACCAGAATGTGGAACAAAGCCCCTCTCAAGCCCATCATAAAACTGTGGTCTGCTCAAGCAGCCTTTGATTAGTAGCCCGGTCTTTGCTAGTGAAAAGGTTGTAAATGCATAGGAATGTTTTATCCTTGGGTGTGACTGTTAGTAGCTTGCAAACAAGGAAGGAGAAAAGATGATTAAAATATATAAATATCAACCTTTTTTGATACCACTATCTAAAAGCATTTTTTTCTCTCTCTGTAGAACCGTATAGATGCCAAGCCCATAATCAACTTTTTTTATCCAGTGTTTGAATATAAAATCATTACAGTAATAGAAACTTATAATACTCAACCACCTTGACTTGTATAAAAACTGATTAAGTCAGAAGAAGACAGAAACAAAATTATTGACCAAAGCTGATAAAATTAAAATAATTGATTTTATCTTTAAGTCTAGCCTTGGTGTATGTGGTTACAGGCTAAACCAATTTAAGACAGAAAAGGAATTCCAAATAAACATGGAGCAATGAACACATATCATTTACCATGTTCTTCTTTCAAATTGGCAGTAAAAATACCTTTTAAAAAAAAGCACATTTAAGAGAATAATGAAAAAGGGAGAGGAGATAACAGGATTTTTTTGAACAAGAAAATCAGGAAGTAGAAGAATGAGTAATAAATGACATGGCAGAAATCCCAGCCTATTTTAAGAAAACCTTAAAATTGAACCAAATCACACTAGGATACTGGGGAGCCTTGAAATATAAAATCAACAAGTACTTATGGAAGTAGAGAATACAGCTAGAAGTCCATAGGTATTAGCTAAAATTCTGTTTAAGAAACAAATACAGACCTACACCCTAGGAACTTGGAGAGAGCTCCTTCCCCATCCTTGATGGAAGACTAAAATTTTACTTTCTAATGATACAGAATAACAGAAGCCCTGGACATAAGAAAAACAGTCCCAGATAAGAGATGTGATTCACTTCTTTAAAAAGAAAGGTTAGGTGAGAGT